ACGGATCTTGCACGGTTTGCTTGCTTTCTGCTTTGCTTTTTTGCATTTCCGATGGGTCTTGCACGCTTTGCTTGCTTTTTGCTTTGCTTTTTTTGCATTTCCGAAGGTTCTTGCATGCTTTGCTTGCTTTTCTCCCCCCCCCCCACTTTGGCCAGAATGGATTAATCATGTTTCCAATGGGTCTTGCAGTGGGGTGTGTGTGATTTTTTGGGGGAGGTGATTTTTTCTTCAGCTGGAACAGATTAATTGCATTTCAGTGCATTCCTATGGAAAGTGGTGCTTTAGCTTATGACCATTTCGAGTTACAACTGGAGTTCGGGAACCAATTAAGTTCGTAAATCGAGGTGCCACTGTATTCAGAAGAGGTTTACTATTCCCTTCTGCAGTACTCAGAAGAGGTTTACTATTCCCTTCTGCGGGCATCCTGGGACTGCAGCTTGCCCAAAGCTACCATACAGGCTGGCTGTACTTGTGGGGGCACAGTGGGGAATTGAACTCCCAACCTCAGGCTTCCTGTACCTATGTAAAAAATAAAGCTATCCACCCAGTTTTATTTTTTACATATAATGAAGTGCTTAATTCGTGTTCCTTAAAATTCCACATTCTTACAGGAGCACGTCTGTATAGAAGACAGCATCGTCACATCTGAATGGAAACCTTTAAACATCAAAATTGGCTCACTGAGTACCACTATCATAGGGGAAGAAAAGCTGAACAAACACTCTGTGCAGACAGACTGTGAGTTTTGCTAGGAGAAGGAAACAAAAACGGAAGTCTCCCATCTTGCCCTGATCACTTTCCTGCCTGCAGATCAAGAATAACAGAAGCAAGTGAGGAAATTATTGCTTAAGAGTGATTTCTAAACTGCCTGAGACCTACATGTGCAGAGACAGGTATTGGCCAGTTCTTGTGAGCAAGTATCTGGGTGGAGAAGTAGAAGGACCGCAGTTAGAGAGAAGGATTTTGGTTTGTTTCTCATTTAATTACTTGAATACCACTTCTCTCTTGCCTCTAGGTATGTACATGTGAGAATGGGATTTCCATTTGTATCGGATTTTTATTCAGCAGCTGTCAATGTATATAACAGGGACCTTTGGCCATGGGGCTCACGGTAGGATATATTTTTTATTTTTTACTTTAAAAACTTCATGTCATGCCTGTCTACTCAGAAGTAAGTCACACTGGTTGGCCAAGATGAATTTTAGGAAAACATGGATAGAATAGTTCCCCAGATGAATACAACTTTTGGTTGCCTCAACAACTACAATTGGCATCAGCCTCCACTGTGTTCTCTATACCTGCCTAAAGAACAATTGTGTACTGCTGCACACTGCAAACCCTTCAGGTGCCTTTCAGCATGGTCTCCAAACAGAGGTCAATTTTGGTTGTTCATGGTTAACATAGTCAACACATAACTGAGGGAATGTAACTTACTGTTAAGAAAAGACACAATTTAAAACCTAAATAAATCTTAAAATTAAGAGCAGCTCAGTTGTAGTTTTCGAATATGATACAAGTTATCAAAAGTATTTTTTATTTGTAGAAAAAATTGAATTGCACATTATTGTACAAGAGGTAGACTCACAGTATCACTTTTAAAACCAATTTCAGTGTCAAAAATCATTGATAGTTTAAATGCTTAAAAGTATCATAAGGAAACTTCACTTCTGCTGAAGCTTCTTTGACAAAATCATAACCAGTTTTTGGTTTTTATAAACTACACTGCAAAGATAATGCAACATCCTAGGGAAACTCTTCCAACAAATTGGAGTAATAGTTAACTTGCTTATAAAATCATGATATAAAACATTCCACTCCATTTTATTCCATTGAAATCTGCAGTACTTGTAAATTATGACTTTTAGGACTGAAGCATAAACAGATTTAGACTCTTCTCTGAGCAAATGTATAAATTTGTCTGTAAACAACAGGTACCCAAGTAACACATGACCAAGAAACACAGTGTTGAAATAGTACACAAAATTTTCAACAAGAGTTTTTTATGTTAGTAAAACTCAAATGGTTTAAAGTTTATTTTTAAAACCTGATTTAATTATTTAAAGACACATTGGCACTAAAATTGATGTAGTATTTTGAATACTGATATGCACTCAATAATATAGCACATCAGTTATCAAAATGCAAAAGATTAAGGATGCTCTCCTTTTCTTTTGACTTTCCTTTTTCCATTTGCCTCCCTTTGATATATTGATGCTCAGATTCAAACTAGACACCTGGGGGTAATTTCTAACGAATCATAAAAATACAGTGGTGCCTCGCTTAGCGATGTTAATCCGTGCCGAAAAAATCGCTGCTAAGCGATAACATTGCTAAGCAAAAATAAAAAGCCCATAGAAACAAATTAAAATGCGATTAATGCGTTCCTATGATCTAAAAACTCACCTTTAAGCGAAGATCCTCCATAGCGCCGCCATTTTCGGTGCCTCTAAAGCGAGGTATCCGTGCCTGAAAACAGCGGGCGGCCATTTTGTTTACCCGGTGGCCATTTTGAAACGCCGATCAGCTGGCTGAAAATGGGGGCTTTGCGATGATCGCTTCTTGCGATCATCGCAAAGCGAATTTCCCCCATAGGGACCATCGCAAAGCGATCGCTTTTGCAATGGCAAAAAGTCCATCACAAAGCGATTTTGTCGCTATACGGAGAGAACGCTATGTGAGGCACCACTGTAGTCTTTTACATAGTTTTGTCATTAATAATGCATACTTAAAATGACAGATACAATATTTTTGCAAAATAAGCATATAATGTAAAAATAGGTTTAAAAAACAAAAGTATTACAGGTACAAATAGGTAGTGCTAAGCCATCAAAATGTTAAGTTTGAAGACATTCTCTATATTATGAAGACCCTTTGGCTTCTTTATCTGACGGTGGAAATTCTTCCAGTTCAGTACTGAACATCAGTTCTAAAAGTGAAGGAAGAGCATTATAGGTTATTAAAATATACTGGAAATATAAAGGTATTTGTGACTATAACTACATCTGGGCAGATTACTCTGTATTTCCCAGGACTTTTGAAAGTAGAATAAATCTCTTACTGAGAACATATGAAATAACTCTTTACAACTTCTTCCAACAGCTGTTACTTTTTCTTTCTCTGGAATCATCACTGTGCCTTTTGTCATAAGAATATTGTTAAATTTCTATCCTGCCTTTCTACCAAAAAATTGCACTCGAGTAGTAATAAAATACAGATGAAACCAGAATTTTAGTTAAAACAAAAAAATCCCAATCTATCAATTACATAATTGAAAATGCAGCAATAAAAGGGGCTGTTCATCCACTTATACCCAGTTTCTTCCTAATTCCTTCCTCTTCTTCACTTTGCTACCTTCATATTATTGTTCTTTTTAGTTTCCTTTGAACTCACAAGCTATCTTGCTCTCATTCTCACTGCTCCCCCTGCTGTCCCCCTTCCCTTTGTAATGCCCTTGATCTGAACCCATTTGGGCAGGAAAGGTGACTTGCCAGTGGGACCATGCATATGCTTGGGAACTGCCATCCAGGTTCCCTGTCTTGTACCTTCACTATGATCCAGCTGGGGCCGGAAGGACAGAAAGAGCCAAGAGATTCCAGCAAGAAGAGCTATCACAAGATTGATCACGATCCAAGGCTGAAGAACCTGCTCCTCTGCACCTGAGGTCCTGAGGAAAACGATGAAAGAATTCATTAGGGCCAACACGAGAGAGTGTCACAATTCCATGTGTCTGAACACAACAGCTGCAATATGTGAGGAGCCCTTTGAGCAAGAACACAAGTTAAAGTTCTAGAAATAAAAATGGTCATTCAGCACTACATTTCGGCATCAGCCATCTACCCATCAACCTAATGACAGATATAATTTAAATTTTATAAAATAATGCACCAACACAGATTTCACTAAGAACAGGATAGGTTTCAATTGCTGACAAGTTGGAGGAAGGTAAGGTGTGGATGTCTGTACTCAGCTACAGGCCCTTTTCATGTTAGACAAGGCTTTTGAAATGATTGGTACAGATTTGATCACAACTAAGTTGAACTTGTTGAAGCCTTTATAAGAACACAATCCTTTGGAATTTATGAAGGCATTCTTAAGATAACAATACTCTATCTTGCTCTATTGACCAAAGTTCTTTTAAAAGTCCTTACTATGGGGCAGACTGATCACTGTTATCACAGGCTATTGCCAGTTTTGCTGGAACAAATGGGATACAGTCTGTCCAATGACCCCTTGCATGACAGGTATAAGCTGGTATACTGATGCTAGGATCACCTGTTGTCCTGGACAGGGATTAATCTGGTTCTAATATAAAATTGCATGGTAAATGTAGCTGTTACTTGGTTTTTGGATAGTACTAACCAGAACAGTATTATATATATATATGAGGGCAAACAAGGGTACAGTATCTGTATAAACTCTTCTGACCAAATGGGAATACAGTACTATGCTTCCTAAATGTTTCAATACAAAATAGAAAGTAAATAAACCAAAAGAAAGAAAAAAGTATAGGAAGAAAATTTTATTATGCAACTTCTGTCACAATATGATGAGCCTTGGCAACACTTACAATTCATTGCATTATATTACACACACTGACAAAGATGTATACATAACGTGATGCAAATCTCACAAAATAATCAGTCTTTAAGCAGAAAAAGAACAAAATTCCTACCAGAGGCTACCATTCTCTGAAGGTGGTGTGTAGAGGTTGATTCTGTCGCTTGTCATTTGCTGGCTCAGAGATAATACAAGAGCTGCAAAGTACACTGAGAGAAAAGAAGGAAATCAATAACATTTACCAATTTTTCATTGTCACATCATGAAACTGATTACAACTCCCCTATATTGTTTCCCTCACAATCCTATGTTCATAGCCTAGATTGTCCTCTTGAGCACTAGAAACACTGTCTGCTATTTAGCAAGATTACTAAGCTTACTGCCATTCTTGCTCTTATTTGATATCCACATCAAGGACAAGAGAATTGTAAACAATCCCCAAACATCACACCTATTTTTTTTTAAAAAGCTACATAACCCACTTACAGATCTCTAACATTCTCTGATCTAAGAAACTGCATGTAGTGGCCACCCTGTCATGCATATTCAGCAGTTCATTTGCATGAACCAATAGGGAGCTGCAAGGAGGCAGAGCCAGCTAGATAGAAGGGGGGGCTATAGAAGAGTGTGGAGGAGATTAGAGAGAAGGGAGCAAAGAGGGAAGAAAGGTTTGAAGAGAAAGGAAGATCGTTTGTTTGAGCCTTGAGGCAGAAAGTTTAGGGAGTGAACAGTCAGAGTATTACAGTGGTGCCTCGCAAGACGATTGCCTAGATTGCTGTTGCGCTTCGCAAGACTATGGTTTCCTATGGATGATTTTCGCAAGACAATGATTTTTCCCCATTGGAACGCATTATATAGATTTCAGTGCATTGCAATGGGTAACCACGTTTTGCAAGACAATGTTTTCTATGGACGATTTTCACAAGACAGCGATTTTTCCATTGGAACGCATTAAATAGAGTTCAGTGCATTCCAATGGGGAACTGTGTTTCGCAAGACGATGTTTTCGCAAGACAGCGTTTTTCACGGAACGAATTAGCATCGCCTTGCGAGGCACCACTGTACAAGACGATGTTTTCGCTAGAAGAGGTTAAGGGAAATACTGAAGCTTTGTGTAACTTTAAGAATGTGTGTAATAACTATTCATGAAAGAACCTCAGTCTTTCATAGGAAAGATAGGCTGATAAACAGATCAACGGGTGGCAGTGTGGTAAAGGGCATGTTGGGAAATGTAGCGTGAACTTCATGTTTGGTGAAATAATCAGGGGCCACGGGGTAAACGTCACACTATGATACTGACCCTTCTAGAAACAGGATCTTTTACAGAAACACAATATGGATATTTATGCCAAAACATACCAAGGAAATAGAGAAGGTCCTGCTTCAGGACAGTAATGAAGTTATAACAAAGACACATACAGTACATGTGTAATTTTCCTATACTTAATGCTCTAGCCCTAATGTTTTACTCACTGAAAGAGGCAATCGCTGCAGGATCCAAAGTAAGGAAGCCACGTACTGCTACAGATGTTTTAGCCAAGTCAATCCTAAGTAGTGGATATGAAATAGATATGTTTAAATGTAATGTAACAAGAAAACAATGAAAATAATTTACTCTGATATATCAGACGTACTTTATAACTAGGAATCCAGTTCTCAATGAAGCCAATGGCAGAATTCCATTGTTTTTAAGACACTTACACTCAACCACAAACGTTAGGGGTTGCTGTGCTAGTAAACAAACGGCACAACGACTGTTCCATCAGTGCACCGTCAAGTTGTGTGCCAATGTCAGGAACTAAGTCAACTATGGCAACAGGACAAAAATGGGGCCAGTGATAAAACTACTAGAAGAAACATTCTGGTTTCAGGCTGGTACTGTCCCGGTTTGGGAAAAAGTATCTGACTGTCGCACAGCACTGATATTTATGTGTTTCTGGATCAGCTATAAGGATGTTCAAGAAGCCCCCAGTCACCAATGGGTTGAGTTCACACACCCCTTACTAATTTTAAAGCTTGCTACTGCACTTTAGGGGTTAAAGGGCTGGAACCTGTAGGAAAACAACAACTAGACACCAGTTGCTATAGCAAAAGGAGGAAGCATCAGAGTAGAGACAGCTGCAATGAAAGCTAAAACTTTCTCTGGAAACTCCCAAGTGCTGAGCCCCTGAGGACACCTCAGACTGACCTCAACCAGTCTCTTATATTTCCATCCATCCAACCAGCCAGCCATTTTAGATCCAGACATGGCAAATGGAAGGTGCTGTATCACTTACTAAATACCATATTCTAGGAGACAGCTATTTGCTGGTCTCCTATCCATCCAGAAACAAACATATACCTGCACAAACCTAAGAACAAATTAGGTCTGCTCACCTCCAGACCTTCTGGGCAGGTCAGCCATGCATTGTACAGAAAATATTGTAATACAGCCGTGCCCTGCTTAACGAGGAAATTGCTTTACGATGAGGTTTTTGTAATTGCTATCGCAAAACGATGGTTTAAATGGGTGAATTTCGCTTGGTGATGATCGGTTCCCTGCTTCGGGAACCGATTTTTGCTTTACGACAATCAGCAAACAGCTGATCGTCAGGTTTCAAAATGGCCGCCGGCTGAAGAAAATGGCCCCCCGCTGTTTTCTAGGACGGATTCTTCACTTTACAGGCACCGAAAATGGCCGCCGTATGGAGGATCTTCGCTGGACAAGCAGGTATTCAGCCCATTGGAACGCACTGAGTGGTTTTCAATGCGTTTCAATGGGTTTTTGATTTCGTTTGACGATGTTTTCGCTCTACAGCGATTTCGCTGGAATGAATTAACGTTGTCAAGTGAGGCACCGCTGTACAAACCAGCTTAGACACACTTGGGCAGCCATTTCTGACATATAACAATGACACAACTCCGTTCTGTAACTGGACTGGGGAAAAAGAACAGTGGAACACAAGGAAGAGATGGTAGGATCGTGACTCAGTTCACTTGCCCAGGATGGGAGGTGCTTTAAAGGGCGACCGCAGAGCCAGCTGTGGCAAACTAACTTGGAGAATGATGTTGTAACTAGATCTGCCTACGAGATCAGGATTTTAATCAGGCTTTAAATTTAGAAGGAAACCATAAACACTATCATTAGGCTAGAGAAATGAGCGAAAAGGAGACCTGTCAAAAGCTGAAACAGTGCTAATTGTAAGCAGGAGATAAAGTAGGCACTGAGAAGGATACGCCAAAGTCTTGTACTGCTGGAGCAAGTTTGAGACAGTTGACAGCTGGTCTCCTGCCAGGACATAAATCACGATGATATTCCAGACAGTGTAGCCAGCAAGAAAGCCATGTGTGAAGAGTCCAATCACCCTAAATGGATACAGGCATATTACGACTCAGTTGGGTTGGTATAAATCTTACAGAGTTCAGGTGTTCAGGATATCACAGACTTGAGTAACAACGAGGCTTAGAACTTTTATAATTCTACCATCTTCAAGACAATTTCTATCTCCTTTCACTTTTCCTTTATTAACAACATTTAGCTACATATTATCGGTGTTTGCATGTTTCTCATTTCTCATTGGCCAGAGAACTTATTAGCGATCCATATACACCTGCTGCACAACAGGGTATATACAACATAATACAACTGACGCTCATTGCTCAGCAGCAATTCACTCCGGTGAATTACCCCATTTATACAAATCACCAACAAAATCCTGGAGCTATGTGCTTACATCTTTGTTTTCATATTTTCAGGACAATGCTCCTTCTGCTATACAGTAGGACTCCCGTATCCACAGGACATCAGCTCCAATCCCCCCTGTGGATGCTGAAAAATGTGAATTGTAGCAAATACTAACACTATACATAGGATGGCCTCTGCCTCTCTCTAGTGGTCAGTTCTGGTAACTTCATCTTTAGAAATATAAATTTCTGTAGGATTTTTCTTTTAATATTTTCAGACTGTAGCTAAGTGAATCAGCAGATACTGATGCCGCAGATAGGAGGGCTGTACTGTACAGTATTCCTATTTAGAATTTAAAATGTTTTCAGTTTCAGGAGAAAGGATTCAAAAGAAAAATTGACAGCTAAGCTGCATACAAGCTTTTTGTGGTTGGTCTAAAGAAATAATAATAATTACAGGTAGAGAGTAACTGACACTTCACCACCCTATAGTTCTCTAAAGGAACATAGCAATGCAAGGTACATGGATGTGATTGCATTCATCTTACAAAACACCTACCCAGGTTTCACTATGTGTCTACATACCACACATGACATTTAACAAAGCAATCCTAGATGTCTGGAGAGGCAGCTAATAGTGGTTAGAATGAGGCAAAGATGCCCCACTGCTGGTGGGACAGCAGTCCCAAGTATACTCATGAAAACTCTGCAGGTGGGACAGCAGTATTGGCAGCAGGCCTGAAATGAGATTTCTGGAGGGAGGGGCATAGATCCAAAGCCACACCCCCCAGGTACAGATTCATTCATAAGGGAAGAACTGGCAGGAGAAATAAGTCAGGGGACATTAATGTTGCCATCGCCACTGTGGTAGCCAAGACTATTTCTCTAGCCCTGGCGGTAATGCCCTGTCAGTCACAAAAATTTGCAGTAATAAATACAGCAAGAAAGATCACTTGTTCAGTACAGCCTTTCTTGCATCTTGTTTCCTCTTTCTTTCTGTTTTCCTGATCACTTGGAAAAGGGTCGCCAAAGACACAACTTCAAGAGGGAAAATTTCACTTGGACATGTAATTCATTTTCAGTGGGACATCTCATTCACTTAACCCACCTATCGGCTCTCACTGATGCTCAAATGGGGCTAAGTTCATACCTAAAGCCACGATGAACTGAAAGTGCCACATCCTTGGTAGTCCAAGAAGCTTTCATATCCATAAATACATCAATGTTTTCTGTAGTTTTAATCAAATCTCTGCGGTCAGCTGCCTGGAAACGTCCTGAAGAGAGAAAGTGACATTTAAGGAACTATAAACTATACATCCTTTGTTTATATCTATTGTCTGTTCTTAGTTGCCTCACGAGGCTTGGATAAGGTGCAAAGGATAAGGCAC